AACCTGGCATTAAATTAGGAAATGGAGATAGCTGGAATAGCCTGACATTTAGAATGTTCAGAAAACCAAGGAGATGCGAGATCTTTACACAGATTTTTACTTTTCAGCTTATCTTAACAAAGTGGAGTATACTGAAAAACAAAAATAAGTCAAACATCACAACAATACTAGAAAGATACATTTATGAGCCAGAGTTATCATTCATTTAATGAACACTGATTAGCTCTATTCCTGGGAGGAAGGGGAAGAGGCACATATTTAATTTAGAGACAGAACTAGCGCCTCTGATTTTCAGGTACAGTTGTGTTGAATTCAGATTTCCCAAAACACCGGGGATTCACAAGGCACTTTTTACTGAATTACTACTTTCTAAGGCATCTAAAAAAACTCTCAGTAGTATAGCATGAAGCTTTACAGATGCAGACCAAAGAATTCTGAGCTTACTACACCATCTCGTGTCAAACAAGGGGAAGTGCAAGAAAATTATTTTAAATTCCCTTTCCATTACACTACAGACTTTATCCTTTAAGAGATTATTAAAAGGCAATTCCATCACTTCCATACGTTGAAAAGAACATTTATTACCTTGATATGGCAACTCTAACAAAACTTCTGCAATGCTAGCATTTTCCCAAATGTTAATACATCCACGTAACTGAAAACTTCCTTTACAGCTTCAGTGTTTGACATTCAAAGTTGCTTAAGCTGTTGAAAATTTTATCTTTTGCACACTAATAAGCAGATCAACCTTTATCAGGAGTTTGAAGCTTTCTAAAATTAAGCATTTTTCAGAACTAAGCTGACTGCACATGAAATGCTACAGGAAAGTAGAAAAGCAAAGTTAATGCAAAATACAATAAGGTGAAGAAGTGAAAAAGACAGGGAAAATAAAAGAAGATCTGGTTTGCAGCAAAACTGCTCTTGCTCATTATTTTCTACTGAAAGGGAGTAATCTGGCTAGTGCATACTAGATTTTAGGTACTTGGAAGATAAGAAAACATGCCTACCTTCAATTTCAGAAAATCTATTCACATTTCTAAACAACATTTATCATAATCAGTATCTGTGTGTCTCAAAGAGATTTTCAGAATGTATGAGGACCACACTTCTTATTATTCAGAACATGAAACAAGTGCAAGGGTGTTGAAGGAAATAAGTTTTATATTTTGGTTTCCCAAACAACTTTCTGAGGTAATCAATAATCATAGAATCATAGAATGGTTGGGTTGGAAAGGATCATCTTAAAGACCATCTAGCTCCAGCCCCCTGCCATGGGAAGGGACACCTTCCACTAGACCAGGTTGCTCAAAGCCCCATCTAGCCCTGAACATTTCCAGGGATGGGGCATCCACAGCTTCTCTGGGCAACCTGTGCCAGTGCCTCATCACCCTCACAGTAAAGAATTTATTCCTAATATCCAATCTAATAATCTAATAACAATGAGCTCCACTAAGGTGTTTCTGGACTACATCAAGCCACACAATCTGAAATATGAAATTACTGCCAAATTATTTAAGAATTTGTATACTTCAAAATTTAAGATGCATCTGTTATATGCAAACATGGCCCATATCAGGCATTTTGAATCATGGGTGTTAATAAAAATGTGGTCTGAATCCTTCCATTCTGAGTGTCAGAAAATGTTTCAAGAATTCCTGGAATGTTTTACCTGGAGATGTACACAGGGGAATTAACAAGCCCATGATTTCTCTGCCTGAACTTCAACCATCCACACAACCTTCCTCTGTAATGATGCAAGCCTGTTCTCAGACTGGCAAAGTGGATTGTGGATGCAAGCTGAGTTGTTCACTGAGAACTGGGGAGCAGGGTGATGTCAGCCAGCAGTCTACAGGCACAGACAAGGTGCAACACCTATGGCTTCCACAGATGGCTGTGATCACTGCTCAGTTGTGAGGGCCAGAACCAGCCAGCCCAAAGGGAGGTTTTATAACTGCATGATCTTTGCAGATTTCTTTCCAAATGAACAAAAATATATGGAAAGAAGCAATTCTTTTATGCTGCCAAAGTCAAGTCACTTAGGAAAAGTGATGTGATTAGGATGGACATGTGGCTTGGTCTTGGGACAACATTTTGGTTCCAAAGCATCTTAACTAGATTATTTTTATGCTGAAACATTTTCCTTTTATGATATTACTTCAAAACAAATATTGGGTAGTCATCCTGTCATCGGGGCACCGTGCAGCCACTAAACACAAAAGACTGCTTCAAAACTTGCTGGAGAGGTGCAGCCTGGTGCTGCAGTCCCTATAGGGAAATTCAGGCAGTAAAATGCAGCCAGGCAGTGACTCAACCTCACCCAGCCAGGCAGCCAATGTGCTTGATGGCCTGGGTGAGTGGTCAGATGGACAGTCCTAATGGCACACAGGATACGATGTGATCCCTGGCTTGGTGTTAAGGGAACTTCCCTGTCTGACCATTCATAGACTCTAACAGCACTCACACTCCCAGCACCAGAAACTGCACCAAATGTATTCCTCAGCACATGGTACAAGGAGACTCATGATTTTCATGCACGTTTTCCCTTTTCACCAAATGCTCTGACCTGTAACCAGAAAAGTGAGGCAGAACAAGTCAAAAGCTCCTGGTGGAGTTTCCTGACAGCGTTATCCTGCTGCAACTGCCAGTGTCTTCTCACTCCTAAGAATGTACCTGACAATATTTGGACCACAGGACTTGTTATTTCTGCTCAGAGAAGGATTCCAGCAGTTCCACTTCTCACAGGAGTCAATGAAATATTTAAGTTGTAGGCATTATTTTCCAGTTAGTCTTTAAGAATCCAGTGTTTTACATTTCCCGAGGAAGATGTGCTATGGATAGAGAGGCAGTTTTCGCCATTATTCAGTGCAGCCATGTTAACATAATACGGCTGAGAAGATGGCAGAATACTTAATGATATCAGGCTATAGGTTGGAAAGTCTGTAATTCAAGACAATAACCCATTCTGACTAGATTTTGGAGTGTTCACAATACTATTTCTCAACTATGTGCAAGTCACTGTGACCAAAATCTTCTGAACAGGGATTTCAGTCAACTGCCAACAGTAAAAGTGAATCCAAAGCAGGTGTTCCAGAAAGGAAGGGCAACACAATGCCATGAGCTCTAGCAGAAGAATTCCTCCAGCCTTCTGAGCTAATTCACTGCTGAAGGTTAAAAGATGGGACATAGACAGCAGGGGAAAGGAAGCAGGAACTTTAAAGCCATTTGAAGAGACAAACAGCTAAATTTAGATTAAATGGCAGGCATGAGACTATTAAGTGGCAGATATGACACTGTGAATCTGAAGGAAAGAAGGGAAAGGGACAGAGTCAAAGACAAAAATCCTTATGCTGAAGGGAAAACTTGCAGGAGACACTGATTTCCAAGAGGAAATACTATACAGCTCCTGTCCTACCATCACTTCATAAAACAGCAGCAGACAATTTTGTCCTGTTACAAGAGCAAATATGACTGGGAGCTGTTTCAAGGCAATTGTGCATGTCTGGGGACACCCTTCACTTCACAACAAGCTTTTTGACATCATTGCTACACCCTCATCTTGGATTATGTAGCCTTTCTTGAAAGTCTCCAAATGTGAAGAATAATGTCTGGTTTTGACCTTCATGAACAAGAAACCCCATTGTAATCACAATACTCAAGAAGTCCTAGAGGAACGGGGATGCTTCCTTTCCAGGCCAGAAATTGCTTGGTCTGTGATTGTTCCCTGATGCTAGACAGGCCTCATGGAAGTAATCCTTTCCAAATAACTAAAGTGATAGCCTCAGCACAAGATGATCTATCACTGCTTGGTACCATTGGCTTCTGCAGAAAAAGTTAGGTAAGTAACCCAGAAAATTGCTAAAACCTGAAAAGACAAACATCATACAAACTAAACACAGGACCAACAAGAGCAAAGGACAAATATTCATTTGCTTGACTATTCCACAAAGGCTCAATGAACACCAGCTATAGTCACATCAATCTTTAATAATAAACACTTCCTTTCACTTGTAACCACTCTGTAAACACTGTGCTAGGCAAGCAGTGCCCATTTCACAGGCTTTGAGCACCAGAGGGAGCAAAGCCCATCTGCCTTGTTTGTTGCTTAGATAATTGCTGAAATAAAAATATTACCCAGAACATCACTGCCTAAAGTAAAGAATATTATTCTTTTTTCCCCCCTTCCCAGGCCTAGTAGGAACTAAAATAGAAAACCCACCATGCTAATCACTGCATCTATGCTGCTTCCATGAGAGAAGCTCTAGGAATATTTTCCAACCACTGCATTCGTATTAAAGGACAAATGTAAATTTTCAGGAATGGATTACTTTTTGGTTATTATATGGGTTCACCAGGAAGAGAAACATTTTTGCACAACAAGATATATCAGAGGACATCAGACCCACATACAGCTAAAGCTTCTATATTTTATAAATAGTTGCCTTAGTTAACAGAAAGATATCTCTACAGCACTCTGAATTGCATCAAAACCCACAGAAAACTGCAAGTGCTTGAGCAGCAAGGATATGAATAGAGGCAAATGAGCTCCCTTTTCAGACATAACTTGTGAATTTGATATAGCTTTCTGAGAGATGAAAAAAACTAGTTACATTTACAGTATTTTTTTTTAAATTTCTGAACAAGGATCATCAGGAAGGGAAGTCTGCCATTTCAAAATCACCGTGATATTGAGGCTGAGAACCTGCATTATTCCATTCACAATGTACAGAAAAACAGGCTCATTTGCCAGGAATTATTTTTACTCGAGCAAAAGCCTCACTCAAAGCAGAAAGCTCACATCTCTACACAATGCTCTGTCAACTGAACTATCACCTGCTCCACTACAGTGAGCCTTAAAAACCCATCACAGGAAAATCAATCTGCAATGACAGATTTCAGAAAGCAGCTTGTCTGTTTGCACAACAAAATATGTTTCCCAGGAATTTCATGGTACGTGTTTTCTCGTATTTGAGGATTAAAGCCATGAGTTGTATGGATCCTACCTTCAAAGGGGAAATGTGTGACTGTAAGACGTATCCATGGACATTCTCTATTTGAGACAAGTTCTTCTCTGACACATGAACGAGCTCTGGGCCTCTCACTTCATGGGTTAAACGAGGCAAAGTATGGTCATGTGGCGCATCCTCATCTTGATAACGATATTTCTAGAGAAAGAAAAAATCAAGGAAGAAAAAATAAGCTTTTAGGAGGTAATTCCTGTATTTTAGTATAATTGTGGAAAAACAAAAAAAATATGATACAGTAGACAATAATCATTGGATTTCCTAGTGTGTTCTGGAGAGAATGAGTCATTCTTTTTTACCATTGTATCAAAGAGAGAAATGTGGTATATGTCACTGATACATAAGACTTTCACCATCAAATAGACATTTGAGATGACACACTGATAATGAAGAAAAAGAGATGTTGATCAGCTAAGCTGTAGTGTCAGATCACATTTCACATCCCTGTGTTAATAATTAGAGTTCTATAGCCCTTCTCTGCAAAATACTTGTGTTATTTTCCAGTTGGCAGTGTGTACTCTGATGCTGGAGAGCGCACACACACTTCCACAGAGGCACAGTCCCACAGAAGATTCCCCTGCTGTAAAATTCTATACCTATACCTTTCTTCTCTATGGAGAGGCAACACGAGGAGCTTGTCCAAGATCCCACACAAAGCTTGTAACAAGGAATATAACCCTAAAATGAAATTAAATTACCTGATCTGTTCTCCAGCCAGAATGCTTTGTAAAAACGTGCCATCCCCTCAGTGGTGTCCTGAAGAGAGGGCTATTGGTCAAAAGCCTAAGATTTATTTGTATGGCCATATAAGAAAAATAAGTCTGAAGTCCAGATACAAGAACATCCCAAAGCAGACCTCTCCATGCAGCAGACCTCTCTGCTGCTCATCCACACCACTTTGACCACTCAGCTATGGAGTGTTATTTCATTTACTCATCCCTCCTAAGGAAACCACCCCAGTGTATTCTGCCTTCAATCTTACGTATGGAAATGTTTCAGCAGTTGCCAATTATTTTCAGAATACACATGTGACATGATTTATTCTCTTCTTCTTTTCTGGGATATGCCTGCAGCCCTTCACATATTCACTTTTCAGATAACATAATTAATGAATATATGAAATGACTGGCACCAGCCAAATATTATTTGGGCAAGAAGCCATCAGTTTAATAGATAGTACTCCAGCCAATGTCACATTTAAGGCTTGGCACACAGATCATTTAAGCCACAAGCAATCAATTATTTTTTTAATCGAGTGAGTACTCCTTCTAAAAAGACAACTACTCTGAAACATCCTCTTTTAAGTGAGCCATTTGCTAAAACATAATTAGGAGAAATAAGAGCAGACTACCAGAGTCATCTCATTAACTCAGAAATGGGGAAAATGGAAATGTCCAGTGGCTACTTCTTAAGGAGACAAGACAGCAATGACAGAAGCCATAAGAAGCTCTATCACAGAACACAGAGCCATTCAGATTGGAAAGGACCTTTAAGATCAGTGAGTCCAACCATCCAACCCAGCACTGCCAAGTCCACCACTAAACTATGTCCTCAGGCGCCACATATACATGACTTTGAAATACCTCCAGGGATGGTGAGTCAACCCCTTCTCAGGCAGACTGTTCCAATGCTTGCCAGCCCTTCAGTGACAAAAATCTTCCTAATGCCTAATATAAATCTCTCCTGACACAACATGAGGTTGTTTCCTCTCATCCTATCTGTTGTTATATGGTAAAGAGACCAACCCCCACCTCACTACAGCCTCCTTTCAGAGTTGTAGAGAGTGATAAGGTCCCCCCTGATCCTCCTTTTCTCCAGGCTAAAGGAAGCTCCTTTACCCTCACCTTCCTAGCCACTCCTCATCAGAAAGCTAGCCTCATCCTGGGCTTCATCAAAAGAGGAGTGGCCAGCAGGTCAAGGGAAATGATTCTCACCCTGTACTCTGATCTTGTGTCACCCCACCTGGAGCACCACATCCAGCTCTGGGGTCCTCAGCACAAGAAAGACATTCCCTTCTCTGTACCTGTTAGAACAGATCCAGAAGAGGGTTATGAATAGGATCAGAGGGATGAAGCACCTCTCCTATGAAGACAGGCTGAAAGAGCCTGGTTGTTCAGCCTAGAGAAGAGAAGGTTTCAGGGTGAGACCTTTCAGTACTTTAAGGATGCTTATATAATGGAGGGAGAGGGATTTTTTTTTTTATATAGGCATTTAGTGACAGGAGAAGGGGGAATGGTTTTAAACTGGAAGAGGTTTAGATTACATATTAGGAAGAAATTCTTCCTCAGTGTGATGAAGCATTAGAACAGGATGAAACTTCACAGGGAGTGTGCAGAAGCCCCATCCTTGTAAGGGATGTTCGAGCCTAGGTTGGATAGGGCCCTAAGCAGTCTCATTTAGTGGATGCCATCCCTACCCTTGCAGGGGGTTGAATCTTTAAGGTCCCTTCCAACTCACACCATTTTATGATTCTATGATTCATTCTATGTTTATATATTTATTTATATATGATTAATTTGATTCTATATAATTCGTATATGATTATATATACATACATTCACACACACACATATATATGTGTGTGCATATATATAACATACATGCTATTCTTTCCAGATAATTGTTGCAGTTTTACACTGCCAGAAGCAGTGTGATACGGCCTTAAAGAGAGAACATATTTTTGACCATCAGTAAGTCCTTTCCCCACCACCGCACTGCAGTGTTGCTGGTCCATAAACAGGAGCCAAAGCCCAGAGGAAACTGATTCACCCTGAGCCACGTGCTCCCAAAGAGAACACTTGTGTGGATCTCTAGTGATAGACTTGCTTTAGAATTTGAATTGATCTATTTATCCAATAAATGCACATTCCGAGGATAACTTCAGTAATATCCATGTTCATGTGCCATCAACTGAAAAGTTTACAGAACAGATTTCCACTCTTCTATTCATCTTTGTCTCTCTCCTATCCCAAGCCCAATCTCTCCTTCTTCACAAAGTATGAGCCTACAGCATTTCTGGGTCAATCCTTCTATGGGTTTGCTTCGTGTTCTTAGCACCAAACCCATTGATTTTCATACATCTTTCCTCCTACAGCATCTCTTCATTGAAATGCTTTCAGCTGTGAACCAAAACAGCTTGATACAGCAAAAAGCCAGTGGTAAGGCTGAAAATACCAAACCAGAATTAAGACTCTTCTGCAGAAATGCCTCATTCTGCTCTTATGGGGTCCTGCAAATGTCCTTGAAAAAAACCCATTCCCTAGAAACCTTTCTCTAAGGACTAATTCAAATTTCTGGAGGGAAAAGCATGGTTGCACGGAAATGCTACTCTTCATTTGACAAAAGAACAGGTGGATGTCCTATGATAATTAAATTACAAATCAGTGCCTGCTGCTGACAGGGTATTGTATGCTGCCAACTAGCATCAGATATTTAAAATCCTCTGTAATTACCTATAATGGGGGTGTGGAGTGTGCTGCTGTGAATTTTTAATATGAACGTGCCTTTTTAGAAGAGACCATTCTCTCTGCAGTGTGAGGTTATTACAGCATCACTGCTCTTCACATCCTACTGTCTGAAGGAGCATTTCCAAGGCTGTGATTGCCAAAGAGATGTCAGCTAGACAGAACTGAAGACATGAATCCAGCAGGAAGTAATGGTCAAAAATCTTAAATTTTAACAAAGGCAGTTCTCAAATTACAATAGCCAGACTACTGCATTGGCATGAAAATACAGATGGTTCTTACAACCTACCTTTGATAGATTAACAGTGAATTAAGGTAACTTGGAGTTTGTCATTCAATTTTGGGCCAGAGGGAACTGGTATTTTTACAGAAGTTTGTTGTTTATTTTTTCTTTTTTTGTTGTTGCCATCAGTTTGCAGAAAATGCAAATAAAACATTTCATTTTATATCAGGTCAAATTGACCTAAGCTGCTGAATGTGGCCCAGCTGGAGTTGCCATTCAAAAGCACATATCCCTGGTTCTCTACACAGCTCTTTGGCTGGGCCACACTCCAATGCATCACACATTCCTGCTGCTTGCAATAGGAGGACTGCAAAAGGAGGGAGCTAAATGTGTCACAGGAGTTACAGGCTCTGCAACACCCTGAGAAATAAGCAGCCAGTAAATCCCGGTCTACAGAGATTCCTGACCTACTAGAAAACACCATGAAATGTCAAGAGACACATAAGGAAAGAAGCGACACTGCTTTTCACTCAGCCAAACCTTCATAGAAGATACTTATAGATGTTAATAAATAAAAAAAAAAATACCACCCATACTATGAGATAATAACCCATTCATGAGTGAATTCCACTCCCCATCACTCTTCAAAGCCAGTGTGCTAGCCAGTGGCCAGTATATTATGTTTTATCTTGGGAAACAGTAGCAATACTACCGGTTCTAGCTGTTACACATCAGCATTTTGAGTCTCAAATACAATTTCTGTTTTACAGTCCTCCTAAGGAGGGGCCAGACTTCTGCTCCTTACAAGCTGTGATTCTTCATATAACCCATTTAACAGTGAGACCACAGGGAAAGGAATTTCTGAAGAAAATTTCCCACAAGAGACAATGACCTCTTACAGATCCAGTTGTTCTACTGCAATCTGGAAATAGGCAAGGTATGCAAATGGGTCCAAATACTCCCCTCTCACTCACTTGCCTTTTCTCTCAAACCAGCATCTGAGCTGCTTTGCAGCTCCCAAGTAAGTTAGTCCCATTGCTGGAACCTGCTGGAACCTGGACATGGAAGCTATCTTTAAACAGGGTAGCTCCCTGTTTAAACATCACCCACCTTCTGCATGAGATTAGGTCCAGGGTTCAACACACTGGATTTTCTGAGAGAGGTTTTGGATGCCTCATCCCTGGAAACATTCAAGGCCAGGCTGGATGGAGCTCTGAGCAACCTGGTCTAGTGGAAAGTGTCCCTGCCCATGACAGGGGACTTAGAGGTAGATAATCGATAAGGTTTCTTCCAACTCAAGGAAGGATTCTGGGATTTTTTTTCTCAGTATTAGCAGCCAACAACAACAACAAAACATAATGGACTTGGTCCCTTTAGACAAATGAGGAACCAGCAAAATCCCACCAAAAAAATGTTAATGTCACCTTGTCCTTCTTTGGTGCTCAGTATTTTCT